GCCCAATTTCCCCATGGGGCTGACTAACCACGGATGGCTCTGTCCTAAATCACAATTAGTAAAGCTATAATAGACAATTCATTAAATTACAAAGAAATAAATTATTCTTGTATAATAAGAGAAACCGAGGACAAGCAGGTTTTCAATGAATAACAAAGGGTTGTATTCCAAAGGAAGGAAATAATTACAAGTGCATATAAAGTTATTTAATAATATAATGGAATTCTGATCTTATGGAAACTATATTTAACATTAAAATTTAATACCTCAAAAGCTTCAGCATATTATAGGAAATGGGAAACCCTAAACTAATTCTTTTAGAATTCATTGCACTATATAATTATTATGCTATTATTTCAGATAGGAGCAATTTTTGAAGAGTTCAAATATATCTTTGATATAATGTGTGTCCACTCATTTTTTTTCTGAATAACTAAAACTGTTATAGGACAGGGAGAGGGGCAGCCCAAAACCCCGCAAACCTGCCTATTCTAAATGGGTTCTGCCATCCGCCGCATCAACACAAAACATAGGAGACTTTAATGGGAAGGAACTTTAATAAAACTAGGAAACAATACAGGTAAGGCAAAGAGTCCAGTTTCCAAGTGAAGCACCCAAAGTTACCCATCCCTCGTGGGTAAAAGCCCATCCAAATGGGATTGGCCCAGAGCAAGGCCCCAAAGCCTGCCATGAGTCTAAAGCATCTTCCAGTGGGGACCCACAGAAAAGAGTCAGAAACAACCAGACAAGCCCGGAAGGAAAAGAGCAAAATCAACATCAAGACAAAAGCTGCCACCGTCACCTCCCCATGGGTCTCACCCACATCTGCGCCACCCAGTCCACGACCAAAAGACAAGCGCAGCTTCTTCACGTGTCTCTAGGCTCCATGTGCCTCCTCCAGGTCTCCTTCTGGCTCCATCCTGCTTCCTTCCTCAGTCTCTTCTTCTGCTTCTCCTCTTCCTGCTCAGCTCCACCCTCCCTTGGGTGGGGCAGGGAAACTCCCCCTTTCCTGGGGACCACGCTGTTACAAAACAACTTAAATGGTGCTATTTATATTTCAGAAATTTGTAGTAAGTTATGAAACATGTAATTTAGTTTGTAATTGGTTTCTGGCAAATCTGTGTTTTACCATAATTAGACAACAACATGGATGCCATTATATCAGCCTTTGCAAGAGCCACAGATGTGGATAATTAATTCTGTGCATTATCAATAAGTCCACATTATCAGTTAGGTGTCAGGTACAAGAACCAGGAGCAGTGGCTAACTTTCCCATTATATTTGAGTGTTGAATTTGTTATGAAGCAATTTAAACTGATGCAAAAGCATTTGCTATAGAACCCACCAATTTCATACTTGTTCCTACAAAGTTTTGGTCATACTCCTTCCTGAAACTTACTCACTATTAATCTATAAATTGATACTATTCTGGCCTCTAGTTACCAGAACTAAATTATAAATATGTTTTTTGTTCACAAGCACAGGGTTTTTTAGACCTTGTCATTTCTATGCTTATGTCCAGAATTCTAAGTTCTTACCAAAACTATCCAAACTACTCACTAGCAACTTTGCTCACTATAAGCCAAGCTCACTGTCACTTGTCCTACCAAACAAACTCTGAGCTCTTATTATTTGAGGTGATAGCTACTGGTCAAATCTGGACTTGTGTTCCATGTTCCTTAATGATATTCCCTTTATTATTTTGTATTTCCTTCTAGACACCAATTGTCTTATCTATTCTTTAAATCTTGACTACTTGTTTAGTATTGAATCAGAACAATTAGAGGTCCCAACCTACTTAAAAACAGTTCCTAGGGAACTATGTTTCCTGAGTTCCAAATAGCTAACTTATTTAGTGAACTTAGAGTGAACTTAATAGTGAACTTAGAATCACAATCTGTGATTATGTTAAATTTCTGAGATTTTGATTGAAAAGTCATTCAACACAAATTGAGACATAATTATGCAAAGAAAGTTTAATATTGCCACCAAATAAACTCAAGGTTCTACTATATTTATTTTAATTATATTTTGTTACAGAGTAATTGGAAATAAATGGCAAACTGTTCATTTAAATAACTGAAAGACTTGTAATTTGCCAAAATAATTTGCTTACAAAATCTTGTAGAAAAGAAAAAAAATGAAACAAAAATGAAGCTACTCTGAAGTACCTCTGATGACACCTTGTTGCCCTTTCCTTTCCCAAAGTCTGTTTCTTTAAGTTGTACCACCCAGAATATTCCACTAAGTAAAACTTACCTGGAAAAGAAAAAGGACCAAAACCCATTACTTTCAGATAATGTTTTCTACTAAGTGGAGAAGGAGAATGAGGAGATTTTGTAGATCAGAAAGCTACTCTGATGTCCAAAGGCAAAGTCTTGGGAATTTAGCCCATGGCTACCCATTCATACGCCTCTCCTTGCCCTCCACAGAAAATCCCTCCACCCTGAAATAACAGAAACAAAACCTCTTTTGTATCCCACGTATGTTAAGAAATATTCCCATACAATAGGCTTCCTTCTATTATTTCTTCTTTCTTTCTTAACCTAGTTAAGATGAATTGCAGAAACTGGTTTGGATACAGAGTTGGAAAACAATGAAGAATGGTGGAAAAAACCTGGTTTTAGTTCATTGGCCATTTCAGGGAGTGGATGGTAACTTCAGGAACATCCCAGGTATAACCTGAATCTGGTCCCCATTTGCAGAATGCTGGGAGAGACCAAAGAAAAACAGGCAACTCCAGATTGGTGGTTTCATTTTTAATAACCAAGGAAACTTACAAACATGACCTTGTCTTAGGTAACCACCCTGTGAACAAATCTCAAAAAGTTTATATAGAGGTTTCAAGTGTGTTTAATTATACATATGCATTCCACATAGTCCCAACAATATATTACAATACATTTTATTGAGAGGGTATCTTTGGAGCAGCTTTGGGGAACAGCAGTCCAAGGACAAGTCTATCTCACATGTTCCAGAGGGAGGACATAAGAAACCTCCACTTGTCCTGGTCCACCTTGCAAGTCAACCAGTGGTCATGTTCTTTTGATTGCCTTCCCCAACAAGTAGGTCTTCAATAGCAAGAGCTGGAGGCATGCAAGTATTCTCATTAGCTGAAAGATTCAAGAAGTTGATTTAAGCATTTGCAGTTTTCTCAGGTATGACCCTCTTGTGTGAGAATTCTGTGCACTTGTCCTTGGAGAAGAAACAGATGAAGTTCTGTCCAGTATAATAAGGATTGTTTCCTGGCCTTTATTTCACAGAGGACTGTAGCCTGGAACTAGAAGGGCCATACTCTTGTCTTCATTCTTCAGATCTATTCTCGATTTTAACATGTCTTCCTAGAGTTGTCTGTCATTCTCATATTATCCCCATATGAAATAGAAGCAGGAGAGTATCTTGTAGAAAGGATGTGTGGATGCAAAGAGGGCAAATAGAGGACTGTTTGTCTTTGATAGCCCAACAAATTGTTTGTATCTTGTGCAAATGATGGCCTAGGGTGCTCAATTTAGCCAATCATGAAAGCACACACAATAAGAATAGGCTTCCTTGTTCTTTCTTTCTTAACCTAGTTAAGATGAACTGCAAAAACTTGTAAACTGCTTTCACAGAAATTCAAGAAAGCAACCTATAACAAAACATTTTTTGCATTTTCTTTAAGTCTATAAATTTAATTCAGAGTACCAATCTTTTTGAGTTGGTAAAAAGCAGAAGTTTAGACTCAAATTGTTGGGTCTTATGTAGAACTAACACTGTGGGCATGCCTTACCTGTCTTGATGTTCTGTCCACACAGATTCTCACAGATTCTGTATCAGCCTGCATGTGCCCCTCACATCTCATATTTTTAATGCTTCTAAGCTATGCTTAAAGGATAAAAATTGATAGCTCCAATAACTAATTCTGCCACATTGTTTAAGGGATTTTTAAGTTTGGGGTCTTCATACTCATTAAGGAAAATGTAGTGCTTAAAATATTACAAAATCTTACAAAATCTTGTAGAAAAGAAAAAAATGAAACAAAATGAAACTACTCTGAAGTACCTTATTGCCCTTTCCTTTTCTAAAGTCTGTTTCTTTAAGCTGTACCACCCAGAATATTCCACTAAGTAAAAACCTTCCTGGAAAAGGAAAAAGGACCAAAACCCATTACTTTCAGATAATGTTTTCTACTAAGTGGACTCTTTTTATAGACACCAGTACAATGATTGGGGAAAAGTTCATTTAATAACATTTTTCATTTCTAACTTATTTTACTGGTAATCTTTCTGGATGGATATGGTCACAAATTTAGTAGCTCTTAGATACCACTATAAGTCTCTTAAATACTAGAAAACGCTTAATAATTCTTTCTCCTCCAATCTGTAAAATCTACAAGTGTAGTATTAAGTTAGGATAAGCTCACATAAGCATTAGAGGATGGAAGGACATTTCCAGAACTCTGGAAATGTCACTAGCCCACCCCAATCCTGTGTCATAGGGACAGTGCCTTGTAGCTAAAGATCTTGCTCAGGAGCCTGTAACCTACTCCCCAGAAATTGAATGCAGAGCACTGTATCTGTCGGCATTTTTCTGGGGGATGTGTCTGTAGCTTCCCTTAAATGTCCATAAACACACAGCTTAATTGCAGCGCGCTTCCAAGGGTTCCTTGTGCTTAGTGAATTACCGCCCTTGATTATGTTATTCGTTCTCAAGTGTGAACTCAGTATCATAAAGTGGTCTTTATAAAACTGATTACTAAGTTGGGTGAAGGGGCATAATTTTCATTAGCAGAATCTAGATGTCTGGAAATTTGGCTTGTGGTTCTTGTAGTTATTGATATTAATGCTTTTGGATTCTGAGGTGATTTAGTGTTTTTGTCTAGAAAAATAAGAATCAATTTTCTTCATCTCTTTAAGTCAGAAAAATGAATTGTGATGCATAAAGTTATTGAAATTCTGTGAAAGAAATGTTTAGCTGCAATATATCCCCATTACCAAGGACACAGAATCACATCTCTGTTATTTAGCTTTTATTTCAAAAGGAACAGGGTTGTTAAATGTGATCTTGTCCATATATTGCATTCCCGCTGGCTCAAGAGAATGCTGCCTGAAAAGAATGTAAAACAATTTAGAAGAAATGTTAAGAAATGGCTGAAAGGGAATTTTAAAAAGCAGTGAATAATTTGACAGAATTGAAATCTTTTATAATAGTACTGCAAAGATTAAAATAATTATAGCACAAGTTAGTTCTCTCACACTTTATCATTCTGTTCTTAACATCTGGGGATATTATGAAGTAGATTTGATATTCTACTATAATTTCTACCAGTATGTGCTATTATTTCTTTCAATCAACCATGATTGAACTCACTCAAGCATTGAAGTCATTCTCCCATGCCTGATGCCTCAGTCATCTTAGAGCAGGTAATTTAATGGTGCTCTAGCACTCTCCTGTGACCAGTTGAGCATAACACCTCCAGGCATTTCATGTTTTACTTTTATAAGTGGATTTAATGACATTAATTTGAAAAGGAATCTAATAGTCTGTATAATCTGTCTCTCTGCTCTTTACGCATACTTGCATATGCATCCACACCCACATCTGACTCAGTGATAAAGTGCTTTCTAGTTAAAAGTAAAATATTTCCCTTTCATATATCACTGAGGTAATGCTTAATTGCTGTATGGTTGGTCATTAGACCAGTGATTCTGTAGGGAAATACTAGGGTAACTGAAAGAAATCTTTCTAAGACTTACTCAAAATATATGAAATGAATATTAGCACCTACAGTAAAATTGTTAACAAATTTCAGGTTTAGTAAAGATATTCACTATATAGTAAGTCCCCACGTAATGCTGTTGGTAAGTTTTGGAGACTGCAACTTTAGGTGAAATGACATCACAAAACCAATATAAGCATAGACTAACTGGTATAGATAAGAGTTAAGTTGCAATGCCATGTTTCTGGTCACAGGAATACCACCAAACTTTTAAATAAAATTGCAAAACACTGCTAATACAAAGTAATTATTTGTATTTATTCATTCATTTTCCAACCCCCTTATTTCACTTCAGGGTCACAGTTGCTGGAACCTATCCTGGCAGCTCAGGAGGACTTAACTGTAGGACTCAACCATAGACTGGATGCCCTTCCATCTCAAAGCACAGACAAACACACGCACAAACATTCGCACCCACACACTCGCACACACTCACATGCACTCTGCTTGAGACATACCAGTGAACCTCACATGCACATGTTCTGAATGTGAAGGAAACCATAGCACCCAAAGAAAACCCACCCATGTGTGGAGAACATGCAGACACTGGCCCCTGCCAGGAATCCATTGCTTTTTTCTCATCAACATTACAAGTTGACCTTGAGAGAAACCACACCTTTAGAGGAACTGCTGTACCTGTAGTTGGCCTCTTTTAGAATGAATGCCTTAGCAGAACTGAATACAGAATAATCATAATTTCTTATTTAACCAAAATTCCTAGTGTGTTTGAAATATGAAGCTTTAGATTAAAAAAATATTGACCATTCTCAGGCATCCCACAAACATTCAATAAACTGAAACTTTTTATCATTGCAAATGACATTCATTATAAATAATTTCATACTGAAAAATGGTGGCTTATTAATGTCTGCTTCAAAATTTCATTAAAAAACAAAATTTCATCAACTTCTAAATAAAAAAATGTTGAAAATCTAAAATATACATACATTTAATCATCAAATAATTCTATGTTCTTTGTTTCTTTCTTAGGTAGGTATGGGAATGCCCCCCCTCCAACCAAACATCAGTTCAAGTTCATTCTTTTTTATTTGGGTCCTTATAAGAATGAATGCTTTAAATAACTTTTGGAGATACTATTTTAGCAAACAAGCTTATGTGGTTCAAATAATTTCAGTATGTGCAGAAAGAGTAAAATGACGGAAGTGATTTCTTTACCATTTCCACTCAGATCTCCCTATTGTCTTTTGTTATTTACAGTTCAAATCCACTCCTCTTGATCTTAGATTTTAGGCTGTCCCTCATCTGTGTTTCTCCTTCAATTTTTTAACACATTATCTCCATCGTGTTTCTTAGTAACAGAACGCCTGCAATGCCTGCCTGTTACCTAAAGGATAGAAATGTAAAATGTCTTGGTCTTCTAGATTTGCAGCTAGCTTTTTTAGCTTTTTAGAATTCTCTCTCATGACCATCTTTCTCAGATTCTCTAGTCCATTAGAATTAACTGCCTCCCACCTCCACATTGGTGCTTTATTCATGTGATACTTCTCCTAAACTCATTTCGGTTCTAAGGCCACAAAGTTTTCCTTAAACAGTTCAACACAGAGTGATTTTCAGCAGTGAGTTCATAGCATTATTCGTTTACTTTCCTGTTTACATAATCATATTCAGCATTAAGATATGTAACAGAATGGAGGATTTTATTCACCCAAGTTTCAGAAGAGCTTTTTATGTTGACCAATTAGAGCAGAGAACTGAAAGCATGTGCCTGGAGACTATGCTTGTTGGGAAGGTCAAGTGGTAAGGAGCAGAGGGCAGAGAAAGTGAAGTAGGAGGTGGTGAGGAGGGGTTGAGGAGGGGGTGTGATGATCAAGAGACTTGGAAGATGGCAATAAAATCTCTGCCATGAAAGTGGAATCCTGGAGAGATGATAGAATCCAAAATATCAGATGACACTTAGGAAATTATGTAATATACCCTGTTATCTAATTTTCAGAGCTATTTCTACAGGAAAACCTGCTGAAATAATGGTGTTATTCTGTAAGGCTATCAAAATGAGATGTGCTTTTTTTGAATGCACTGAGACAGGTACAAGGAAATACAGGTTTATAAGGATTGCTAATAATCCTTGCTTTTTTTACTTGCCTTCTTTTTATGGGTTTGTGATATCTTCCTTATTTATACTCATGTGAAGAGGAAATAGATTTTGCTTTCTTATAATTTGTGGTCTGAAGAACAGGATATGATAAATGTTTTGTACTTACTACTGTAGATAGTCCAGAATATTTTTTTCAAGAAAAATTTTCTCAAAGTTACTTTAAAAATATAGTTAGAGTATATAAAGTTTTTAAGCATATTTAATGACTCAAGGAGATGTCAAGCTACTACTTGAAAAATAAATTATTTTTCTTCCCCTTGGACTTGAAAGCTCAAGGGAAATCTTAGCTAAAAAATATCCAGACAAATTTTTAATTCATGGTGAGAAAGAATAAGGAGTGCTTAATCTACTGCTTCAGAAGAAAAGTAAGAAGAAAAAGAGGCAGCAGTTGACAGATAACATCAGTTCTCTTTTGAGTTACTTATGAATGTTTTAGTTTAGTTTCTTTATTCAAATACAAATGCTACTGGAATCTATTCTGGGCACAATGTGCCTAGGATGAAAGAATGTTTCCAAAATGCTACTGGAGCATTAAGACTTATTTTTACTCCTAAAAGTCAGACAGCAGAGTACTGTTGATAGTTTCTTATAGTGGTTAATTTATGGAAGGGAAATTAAAATATTTCCTTCTTTTAGTAATGAAACAGTGAATCATGGTCTGGGCATCTAGGAGTAGAAAGAAGTGGGAGGCAGCAGAATCTATTCCTAGACCCACCCCTGATTCATGCAATGAATTTGGACCAACCTCTAAATACTTCTTTGTCTAAACATCATTAGAACATTGATTCATTGATTCATTTATTCATGCATGTAACATTAGTGAATAACCATAAGACAGCCAAACGTATAGAAATCCATGGATATCTATATACACACAAACGTGACATATATATGTCATTGCAATTCACTGTGACAAGGAATGCAACACATGTGTTTTAAGGCACAGTGTGGAAAAAAGGAGCATGTAAGGTAGGAAGGGCCAGGAAGTGTTCTTAGGTGGGTCTTGAACAGTCAGGTGTTCAATTGGAGGGATTAGGAGGATAATATTCTAAGTACAGAGAACAGTATGTGCAAATATACAGAAATATGAAATAATGTTTTTGAGAGGGAGTGTTATTAAGAGTTTAATACTATAACTCGAGGGGGAAGGAAGAGCAATGGAGGATGAAATTAGACAAAATAAGTCCAAGTATTTCATATGCTATACAAACAGTGTAACTGAATGTTTCCCTCAAGATAATAATATGATCATATTTCCATTTTTCAGAAAGATTACCTTGCTGATCATGTGATAAATTTCAAGTTACAGAGACTAAATTTAGCCATTTAGAAGGAAATTGCCATAATCGTAGCAGATAATGGATGAGAACCTGTACCAAAGCAATGGGAGTGAAGAGGCTGGGCAGATAATAATGATATTAAGGAAGTAAATCGGGACAGAGATTTATGGAATCATTAGAAATGGGATGACTGAGAGCAAGGTATTAATCCCGAATATGGATCAGATTTCTTGTTCAGTTGAAGGTTACTTGCTCATTTCAGTAGCTTATAATTGGAAGAACGATGATGGAATATATTGTATTTGTATGTTGAATTTTAGATAATAATATTAACAAAAAAATCTTGGGATATTTCTTTTCTTTCCGAATGGAATTTCCCAAAGTTTAATCCATGTTTTCTAGAGTCTGGATATGATTCCAGTGAGTACTTTTTTTTTTTTTAATTGATGTAATGTTGATTTCTAGCACTGTATATAATTTAGGAAACAGGTTTACACCAAAAATACCCATGGTTCTTTATCCTAGACTACTGGAGGACCTCCCCCATTTGTTCCAATGAATCTTCATATTTCTAGACCTTTCTGACACAGAAAGTTTACTCCCTTTTCTAAAGATTTCCTTCTGTTCACTTTCTCCTTTTATTTTAATATTTAATTTCACAGTAAGTGACTATGTGGCCCAGAATTACTTTTCGGAAATTTGGAGGATGATATCTACAAATAAACTCATAGTAAATGACTCTGGTCCTTCACATTACCACTAACTGCTTTAATATTTTTAACCATTTTGTTGATATAGTAAAATAGATATTCAGCACTACCCCATTCTCACATTTATAAACTCTCTTCTGCAACATGGTTTCACCATTTTTTAAAAGGAATATTATATGATTGCACTTTAAGTTTTTCATGTTTTATCAAAATAAAACATA